AAACTTGGTTACGAATATGATTCAGACTTGTCTCTGTTTAATCTCACTTCCTATCAACTTGTTACATGCAACTGTGAACATTCCCAGGGTGGGGGAGTTTCAATGTATATACACAACTCATTGTCTTTTTCACGCATCGATACTTTTGAAATTGCCCTACTGTGAATCATTATTTGTGGAAGTCTTCATTGGCCAAAATAATTATTGTTGGTGTAATTTATTGGCAGCCATATACCCCTTTACAGGAATTTCTCGACACTTTAGAAAAATGCCTCGACAAGTTCTCTTCTGCAAATAAAAAATGTATGATTCTTGGTGATTTTAACATTGATGTCAGTTTAAATACTCAATCCACTGCAAATTATATTTCACTCCTAAACAGTTACAAATTTACGCAAACAATTAATACCCCAACTAGATGTACTGCTGATACCAATACTGTCATAGATCACGTGATTACTAACATTACTGATCATTATATCGAATGTAGCAGTATTCAAGCTGACATCAGCGATCACTACCCCACTTTCTCAATAATTAAAAACCTTGACCACATTTTTAATCAGAACACTACTTATCGCAAATGTGACTTTTCTGGCTACAATCGCGATTACTTCCTCCTAGATTTGAACAATATATCATGGGACCCGGTTTTTAACATAAGTGACCCCAAAAACGCCTACTCCGTTTTCTGTGATATTTTCTATTGTGTAATGTCGAATCATGCACCAACAATTCAAATTGAAAAGAAGTGTAAATCTATTCGCAAACCTTGGCTAACAAAAGGTTTAATTATATCAGCCAAAACTAAATATAAATTATATTGTAGTATGTTAAAGTCACCAGATAATACCGAAATCAGAAATAAGTATAAAAGATATCGAAATCATTTGACAAAACTTCTAAAAGCGGCCCAAAGATGATATGAAATTTTCTTGTGCCAAGGGTAATTGCAATGCAATCTGGAAAACTGTTAACGGAATTCTTAATAAAAACAAAAATATGTCCTCCCCAAAAAACATTAAATCTAATAATAATACTGAAAAGATTTTATCGAAAAGTATCGATGTTGCTGAACAATTCAATGAGTATTTTACAACTATTGGCCCCAATCTTGCAGCAAAAATAATTTCTAACCATGACTTTGAGCATTATCTCAATGACAGTAATCCAGCCTCATTCTTTTTTCGGCCAGTCAATGAAAATGACATTGCCAACGAAATATTTTGTTCGGATCCCCAGAAAGCTATGGGACATGATTGCATACACCCCCGGCTTATAACTGATGCTGCTTATCATAATTCTCGTCCTCTAGCACACATTGCTAACTCTTCCATAACACAAGGTATATTCCCAGATGCCCTTAAAGTTGCTAAAATTATACCATTATATAAAAAGGGGTCAGCTTTTGATGTTACTAACTACAGACCGATTTCAATTTTACCTGTCTTTAGCAAGATAATAGAGTCTATTATTAACAAACAACTAATGTCTTTCCTTGATAAATACAATATTATTCTGCCACTAGCCCTTGCCGATTTAGTATCTGATATTGTAGATAAAATGGATGAAGGCTTT